TATTGAGTCATGAGGGAGATGAACCTTTCCTTCCATTTATGATGTTTGTATTGTCTATATTTGAAAAGAATTTTCAATGAAGAAATCAAAGAAGATATTACAAGGGAAAGAGCTATTCTGAGAGCTAATCTCCAGAAGCCCTCTGACTTGGAAGCATGTTAGCAACTCAAACTGGAAATGCCAAAAACATCCCATTAACTAAAATTAGACTGTATAGATTATGACTGTCAATAGTAAAAGAAAATCAAAGCCAGTGGCTACACACAATGGGCATGTGAATACAAAGGGGGCAAGGAAAACATTGTGCCAGGCATATAACTCTAACAGATCCATCCCAAAAACCTACATCGAACTTATACTTTGCATTAAAGGTGGTGTTAGTAAAGAATGTCTTATAAAGCCACATAATGTAGTTTTTGGCTTAAATGTCTCATAGTATCCAAATAAACAGAACATAAGAAATCCATAAGGCAAAAACCTCAGGCAATGCCTAACTTGAGGAAATTACCCTACACAACACCTCCAAACAATTTGTTTGGTTAAAAAAATGTTTTGTTGTTTTTTAGAGATAGGGTCTTGGGCTCTGTCACCCAGACTGGAATGCAGTGGTCTAATCATAGTTCCCTGTAACCTCAAACTCCTGGGCTCAAGTGATCCTCCCACCTCAGCTTCCAGAGTAGCTAGGATTACAGGCACCTATCACTACAACTAATTTTTTTTAAAAATTTTGTGGAGATTAGGTCTCACTATGTTGCCCAGGCTGGTCTCAAACTGGCCTCAAATGATCCTCCTGACTCAGCCTCCTGAAGTGCCAGGATTACAGGCATGAGCTAAATAAGCAAAAACAGTAGAAAAGATTTTGAATGAGTAGTGAAGGAATTTACCCAACCAGATTTTACAATATATTTTGAAGCTGTAATACTTAAAACAGTGTAGCACAAATACATGAACAGAAAACCAGGGCAATGGAATGGAAGAACAAGCCCCCAAAATTGACTGAAATACATAAAAGAATTGAGACTATGATAAGACAGTTCAAATTGCTAGAGAAAAGATCCCAATTATTTATTCAATAAACATTACTGGAATTGGATAGTCATCTGGACAAAAATAAAGCTGGCACCATCTGGACAAAAGTAAAATTCCTATTACATACATATGATAAAGAAATTCTAGATGAGTTGATTAAAACCATGAAATGATAAAAGCATTAGAAGAAAATATGGGGGAAAATCATAACAACTATATCACAAAGGAGAAATTTTCCTTACTATATAAAAAGTGCCTGTAAGTTAAGAAGAAAAATACCATCAATACAATGGGAAACTGAGGAAAAGATAGATTAAAAATATGATATACCATTCATCAAACAGAGAACAAAAAGTGTTATGATGAACTATTTGGTATGGCTAAAGAAACAGGAATTCTCTTATACATTGCTGGTGGAAGTATAAATTGTTACAGTCCATTTATATGGTATTAACTAAATTATGGTAAGTTCTTTAAAAGGAATATTATATGGCCATTAAAAAGAACAAGGCAGGACTATATGTACAAACATAGAACAGCCTCCAAGATAAATTATTAAAAAAACAAGTTATAAAACAGCGTGTACAGTTTGCTATCATACTGCTACTTCATATTCTTGCATATATAACATTCTAAAAGGACACACATAAAACTGGCACTAGGTGCTGCCTCTGGGTGGCTGGGAAACAAAGTTGGAAAGAAGAGATTTTTTTAAGTACAGCTTTTGTTGTTGTTTGTTGTCTCCTTTGTGTACATACATTTACTTACTTACAGTGAACTACATACATTTCAAATTAAGGTTTGGTCCTAAGTGAGGCAATCGGCCCAAGAAGAAGGCATACATTTCCAATGGGGAAAGAAGTATTTCTTCTGATGAAACAACAGTGATTTATCCCAAAGGTTTGGGCAGGTGTTTAGGTCCTTTCCGGTTGGCATGTTCTATTTTAACACCTTGCCAGTTGCTTTATGAGCTGATCTTATTTATTCAACATTTAATTACTGAGCAATACTATGTGTCAGGTATTATGCTAAGCACCAGTGATATAACCAAATTCTGGTACTTGTATATGGTGGTGTCGAGGATACAGACATGTAAACAGCCAAATATAACACAAAGTAATTGCACTGTGATAAGGAGCAGGGGTGTCTAACTGGTTATAGCAAAGAAAGGCTTCCAGGAAGAAATAATATATAAGCTGAGGCCTACACAGTGAACAAAGGAGAGAGAAAAACAGTATTATTTAAAGGCCAAGAAGTGAGCAGCATGTCAGGGTCTTCAGAACAAGTGGAGTTTAGTATACCAGGAATAGTACATAAGCAGGCTGAGAAATTAGTGGAGACATAAGCAAGACCCAGATCATGAAGTGCTTTACAGGGCAAATTATATTTAAATTTTATCTTAGAAAAATAAAAGTAAACAGGAAAACATCGGTAAACTTGAATTTTAGAAAACCCCTCAATGAAATGTGTGGAATATATTATAGAATGCCAAGATTAGAAGTAGGGATATAGTTCAGAGTGCTGAAATAATTTAAGAAGTCTGAGCGAATGTACTGTTGACGTTGAAAGAGAGAAGTGGGTTTATTTGAGAGACTAAGATTACTTAGGAAACAGAACCTACAGGACTTGAGTAAATATGAAGGTGAGGGAAGACGCAAGGAGAACTCCTGGGAACTGGTTGGATGACAGTGCCAATTATGGCGAGTGGCAGGTGGGGAAGGGTGGGCTGTTGAGGGAGGCTGGTGTTTAGTGTTAGATATTGTGAGTTTGAAGTATCTGAGGGACATCAAAGAAGAGAGACGTGTGTCTGGAGCTACTGGCTGAGATATGTATTGGTGATAAAGATTTATTCTACTTTCTCTGTGAAATAAGAGGTATTCTGAAGATAAAGGCCAGAAGACTTGGTAGTCAAATTTAATGATATTACCATGATTTATGTTAACACCAGTGTTGTGTGATTTTATTATTATTCTTTTAGCTTTTTCCAGAACCCAAGCATAAGAAGACAAGGATACTTATGTTACCACTTCTATTCAATATAGTACTTGAAGGTCTAGCCAGAGCAATTAGGCAAGAAAATGAAATAAAAGGCACCCAAATCAGTCATCAGGATGTCTATTGTCAAAAACACAGAAAATAACAACTGTGGGCAAGGATATGGAGAAATTCAAACATTTGTGTATTACTGGTGGGAATGTAAAATGGTACAGCTACTGTGGGAAATAACAGGGCGATTCCTCAAAAAAATTAAACATGGAATTATCATATGATCCAGCAGTTCTATTTTTGGGGTATATACTCAAAAGAAATGAAAGTGGGGACTTGAACAGACATTTGTACATCCATGTTCATAGTATCATTATTCATAATCGCCAAAAGGTCAAAGCAAACCAAGTGCCCATGGATACTGAAACAGACAAAATATGGCAAATACATAAAAATAATAATCAGTTTTAAAAGGGAAGACAATTCTGACACATGCAAACCACACAGATGAACTTGATGATGTTATGCTAAGTGAAATAAGCTAGTCAAAAAGGGACAAATATTGTATGATTCCACTTATACAAGTTACCCAGAATAGTCAAATTCACAGAAATAGAAAGTAGAATGGTAGTTGCCAAGGGCATAAGGAAGGGAGGAATGGGAAATTAGTGTTTAACAGTTACAGAGTTTCAGTTGGTGGAGATGAAAAAGTTCTGGAGATGGGTGGTGGCCATGGGTGCACACAATATGAATGTATTTAGTGCCACATAACTATACACTTAAAATGGTTAAAATGATAAATTTTATGTTATGAATATTTTACCACAATAAAAAAGAGAAAGAAAACAAAGCGGTAAATTTTAATGACCTTGGATTTGGCAATGGTTTCTAAAGAAACCATAAACAAAAGAGAAAACAAATGATAAATTAGATTTCATCAAAATTTACAACATGTGCATCAAAAGACACTATCAAGAAAATGAAGAGAAAACCCACAAAAAGGGAGAAGACACTTGTAAATCATGTATCTGATAAGGGTCTAGTATCCAGAATATATAAAGCACTCCTACAACTCAACAACAAAGAGACAAACAAATCACTTTAAAATGGGCAAAGACTGAAGCAGACATTTCTCCAAAAAAGACATGAAAATAGTCAACAAGTATATGAAAAGATACTCCATATCATTAGTCATTAGGGAAATGCAAATCAAAATCATACCATGATGAGGTATCACCTCATAGCCACTAAGTTGTTTTTTAAAAGGGAAAATAACAACCATTGGTGAGGATGTGGTGAAACTGGAAGCATCATACACAGCAGCTGGGCATGAAAAATGGTATAGCTCATATGGAAAACAGTTTGTCAGTTGCTCAAAAAGTTAAATATCAAATTACCATATGACCCAGTAATTCCACTCCTATGTATACAACCAAATGGACAACAGGTATTCAAACCAAAATTCAAGTACACAAATGTTCACAGCAGGATTATTCACAACTGCCAAAAGGCAGAAACAATCCAAACTGTCCATCAGTTGATGAATGGATAAACAACATGTGGGATACCCAAAACATTCAGTCATAAAAAGGAACGAGGTACTGTTATATGCTACAATATGAATACACCTTCAAAACATTATGCTAAGTAAAAGAAGTCAAACACAAAAAAAACCATAAACCTTATGATTCCATTTATATAAAATATCCAGAATAGGCAAATCTACAGAAACAAAAAGCAGATTAGTGGTTGCCAAGGTCTGGGGTGAGGGGAGAAATACAAAGTGACTGCTTAATGGGAACAGGGTTTTCTTTTGCGGTGATGACAGTATTACCGAACTATATAGTAGCAATGATTACACAACACTGTGAAATGCACTAAATGCCATTGAATTGCACATTTCAGAACAGTTAATCTGGTAAATTTTATGTTATGTGAATTATGCTTCAATTAAAAAAGTAAAAGCTCTTCTTTATCACTCTTACCTGACAGTTAATGTCAGCTCTATGTTGTAGCAAGACTGTGACAAGATCCTTATGTCCTCGATCACAGGCCCAATGAAGCAGAGCCCTGCCCTAAAAACACAGAATAAGATAAATGAATTTGTTGTATCGGTTGTAGGGTCATGTAAAAGATATAGTGTTTTAAGAAAGACAAGGAAATATGTAAAATTATGGGTTAATTATTCTAAGAATGACTGATACAAAAATGCCCTATGGGAAAAGCAATAAACAATTAATGGGGCCAGCCACAGTGGCTCATTCCTGTAATCCCAGCACTTTGGGAGGCTGAGGTGGGTGGATCACCTGAGGTCAGGAGTTCAAGACCAGCCTGGCCAACATGGTGAAACCCTGTTTCTGCTAAAAATACAAAAATCAGTGGGGTGCGGGGGTGGGTGCTTGTAATCCTATCTACTTGGGAGGCTGAGGCAGGAGAATCACTGGAACCTGGGAGGCAGCGGTTGCAGTGAGCCGAGATTGCGCCATTGCATTCCAGCCTGGGTGACACAGCAAAACTCCATCTCAAAACAACAACAACAAAAACAACAACAATCAATCAATTAATGGGAAGCCCTGAGATCTACTTCTGGGTCTATTATGTCCTAGCCCAATAATCGCTTTCAGCTCAATCACTTATAGAGTGGAGATAATGATAGTAGTAACAACAACAATATCAATCATATCTGCTGAATGAATGAACTACAAGAAAATGCTCTGTAAACTGTACTTTTAAAATATATGGTTTTCTTAAGTATTATGCCCATTTCTTCTTTCTTCTGGAAAATAATCATATGAATAAAAAAGCAAGCACTTAAACCTAGATAAAAATTGTAATCTAAATGTACTATATCTAAATTTCCTCAAATTTATTCCTTAAAAAGATCAAACAGTTTGAAAAGGGGAGGATTCAAGATGGCTGTTTAGGAACAGCTCAGGATTGCAGCTCCCAGTGAAAGCGCAGAGGGTGAGTGGACGCCGCATTTTTATTGCCCACAGACTAGGAAATTCCCAGGCGGAGGAGCTCCACAGGTCACCAGCGCGGCTGTTTCGGCCAGCGCGGCTGTGCCGGCCGGCGCCGCTGCTTTGCCCCGCGCGGCTGCTTTGTCGGCGCCCCAGAGCAGCGG